GTGTGATTTGTGGTTAAAAGAAATTACAGTGCACCATCAACGGTAGCGGACTTCAAGCAGACTTCAAACTTCAGGAATGAACATGAACATGAAAAGCTTTTCATGTTCATGAGTATAATTAAGCCCCAAGAAACGAGCAACACTTCATGCTCATGGAGCAGACACTTGTCAATCAAAAAGGAGTGATCTATTTATTGTTCTTCTAATTCTAATCAGGTCCCTAATTTACAAAATAAACATCTTATTTAGTAATTCCTGAAGTTAACGACTGAGACCATACACTCACCGGGAAAGTGTTTACTGAGGTCATTTCTTTCCAAAATTTCTTCATATTCTGACTTTTCTTTATTACCAGAAAAGTCGAACCCTGCTGGCCATTAGAAAGAATGCAGGTGTTTCACCTTGGCTTCAGTTTCCAGGCCCAGTTCACAAAAAGTTTCAGAAGCAGTTCATGCATACGTTCATGCATAAGCTGCTTTAATACCTGTTGACCACAAGAGGGCAGACGAGCTCCTGACATGTAGCTATCAATGAGCTAAACAGTTAACATTTAAGCAAAGTACAGCAATTACATCTCCAACTGGCAACCAGCACCATGTTGATGAGTGTAGGTAAAATACACATTCTGCTCTTGGCTGTTTAGTATGAAAAACACTGTTAATGTCACCTGAAGCAGTGAGACTTCTTTACTTTCTTTAACGTTCACTTAAAACCCCTTTTAACATAACACATACTGTGTTTTGTTTTTAACTGATATAAAGAAATTAAATATAAAGGAAGTTCGAGTGTCTAATGTAAAGCATCTTGAGTTGCAGTTGCAGGATTTCCCCGGGAGGTGGCGATGCTTCCTCTGCATGCATGCAGGCAGTGCACGCTGCACACAGGTATACTCACTATGATGGAAAAACAGACTTTAGCAGGCAGGTAGGAAGTCAAAAACACCCGTTTATGCATCTGTTTAGTTTAGTAGATTTCTAAAGATTTTCAATATAATTCAGTCAGTGTTGAATGAAGCCATAATTCGGCATGTTCAATAGTCAACAAATCTTTTCTGCTGTTTTCACTGACCAGACCTACAGCTCGGCTCTAGCTGCATCTGAAACAGGCACACAATCAAACAGATACAATCAAAGTCAAACCCGGCTGTGTGTGTGTGTGTGTGTGTGTGTGTGTGTGTGTGTGTGTGTGTGTGTGTGTGTGTGTGTGTGTGTGTGTGTGTGTTGCACCACCGTATCTGTCCTCTTCCTAGTTAAAAAAAAGAATAAATCTTTTGTTTTATTCTTGCATATGTGTCACACTTACTAATTTTAAATACTAAAGATAAACCGAATCAAAACAAGTTTTCCATCCAGTTTTTAAACGATGATGTTATTTATTAAGGCGAAAAAAGGCAAAGGGCGGTTCTTTGGATGCTGGGTTATTTTGTCACCTCCTGGATGAGTCGTTGATGCCCTCTCAGAGTCATTTTGGTAATGTACAACCCCATCCCGCCCAAATATATGAAATCATCATTCAAAAACTGTATTTTAAATTTACTCAGGTTAGCCTTGTCTAATATGACAAAACAAAACAGAAACAATGAACAAACTAATCAGGAAGGGCAAATACTTTTTCACAGCACTCTACATCTTTACTCTGTAGCATCAGAGCATCTCTGCTCAGAACACCAGACATCACCTCTTGCCCTCATCAGAGGAACCTTCAGTTCTTTACTCACAGCAGAGGAGCATGCTCTGTGCTGTTCTGGGTCACATGGCTGAGGTCGAGGGAAAACACTGGAGCGTTTGTGGTCTTGTGTCCTTGGACCTGAGCCTTAAAGCTGTTTGTGTTTGCTCACTTCCTCGGAGCCTAATTCACACACGCTAAGGAGATTGACAGACTCGTACTGACCTATTAAACAATAAAGATGAGTCACACACAGCGCTCCCATTTAAATTCATGCCGTCACACAGAGCTTCATTAAAACACATCGTCAGGACAGGCGGGCGAGCTGTTCATTGTTCTGGGCTTGTAATCACATATTCAGGGGATAAAACTGTACTGTACTTTTTGCAATTAAATTCTTTCACAAACATAACACTTGAGACACAAACTTTTCCACAAGGAAACTGATGCCATGAAGCCATTTGAAAGAGACATCATTAAAGTTCAAAATGAGGATAAAGGTAAAATCAAAATGAAGAAGGATTTTAGCATTTTGAGATGATTTAAGGAAGGATTAAAACAAGTCTGGTAAAGTATGATGTCTCTGGATAAAATAATGTGATACAGAATAACTTGAGACTCAATGTCTAAACTTTTTAAATATATATATTAGAGATGGCACGATACCACTTTTTTATGTCCAATACCGATACCGATATCATAAATTTGGATATCGGCCGATACCGATATGAATCCGATATAGTGTTTTTTAATCAATAAAACTGTTTTTTAAATATCTTGCTGCATTTTGTATAAGTTCATACTCAAGTTTAAATAAACAGCAGCACTAAAGCTATTCTGTTGTACCTCTATGTAAAAAATGCACTGCACCCAAAATATTTCATAGTTCAGCAATACTGATCAATCTAATAAACTTAAACCTACTCAATCCTTCCTGTTCTGGTATTTTAAAGAGTACTTAGCAGAAATATTAAGCAACCTAACTAATAGGGTTGCAAAATTCCCAGAAAAAAAAAAAAAGGGAACCACCCCCCACCCTCCACCTCATGATGCTTAATCGACGTAATCAACTTTAATTTGATGCAGTGTGGGAAAATAATAAAGTAATATTAGATAAATTCTAACAACAGCTTATCAAGCTTAAACGTGCTGTTGTTGTTTAGCCGCTGGTTTCCTCTTTCTGGTGCAAAGTGGGCCAAAAACAAAGAAGAGAGACGGATTCGCACAGAAAAGCCGATCAGCTGATCATTAAGCAGTTTCACGATTGAAGTAGCAGCAGGAGAGGGAGGGAGAGAGAAGAGGCAGTCGCTCCATATATCGGTTGTTAAGCTTAACGTGGGAATGCTTTACTAACATTCAGAGATGAACTTGCACACTTGCTTTACTTCTCGCACACTTGCTTTACTTCTCTCTGGGATAACTTCCTCAGAGATGAAATGCTGGTTTGGTAGTGAGGCTACAAATACACACAGCTGCTCTATCACGTGACACACACTGCTCCAACGTGCTACGGTTGTGAGGTGCTTGATATTTAATGGATCAATTGCATTTTTTTATTTCTCTCCGATATCTGATCCAGTAATTTACGTCAGTATCGGACCGGTACCAATTAATCAACACTTCACCGAGTTCTTTTGATTCCTCAGAGGCATCCAATGGAAGACAAAACACTGCTCAGTAGACCATTTAACACTTTATTTCTCTTTCACATCACTTCTAGAAGGGAGATGCGTCCTGCATGACACTTTGCCATGGATCTGAAAATGGTGGTGTGCCCCTAACAGTTTTATTACAGAAGCTCTCTCATTCTAGTCTAAACAACAGTGTCTCAGTAACTTTCCACTAGAGGTGGTCCACTCTTATCTACTTTTTCCCAGGCAAGCGTGAGCGAGAGTCTTCAGCTTTCTACTCCCCAAGGACACATGGTCCAATGCCTTTATTTTTCAGTTGAGCATCTTGGCTGTCACCATCTTGATGTTTTTAACCCAGACATGAGGAACGAGAGGGGGGAGTGAGCATGAAACAGAAGAACGCTCCATGCAAACAGACAGTCTACATACTTCAAAAACATCCATCCATCCCTGCTTAGCTGTGCTGACCTCCCTCGCCCCAGTGACCTCCTTCAGCTCATATGGGGTGACACCAAGGTGCTCCCAAGCCAGCAGCTAGACAACCTCTTCTCAATGTGTCTTCCACCTCGCATAGGTATTCCAAGGTGCATCCAGGAGGCATCCTGGTCACATGCTTGAACCTCCTTAACCGCCTTCTGTCAATGTGGAGGCCCACTTCACTCCTAGGCCCTCCTGAAATAATCAAGTTCCTTACTCCATCTCTAAGACTCATAATTGAGTAACAGACTGCATAATGACTGAAATTAGCAAGCTTTTCATAAGGTTGGTGAAACTGCAGTCAGCTGAGACCAAAGAAGTTGAATCAGTGACAAAATGTTTCTCCCAGCGTCAACGCAACATTCAAATGAACAGAAGCATTTGAATGGGGTGTACCTAATAAATATCCAGTGTGTGTATGTAATATAAAGTCTGTAATAACAGGTTTGTTGGGGATTCTAAACTGGATGAACATGTGGGTATGGTTTGTTTTGGTTTAATGCTTCTCCATGAAGCTATCATACATACTAGATAGATAGATAGATAGATAATAGATAGATAGATAGATAGATAGATAGATAGATAGATAGATAGATAGATAGATAGATAGATAGATAGATAGATAGATAGATAGATAGATAGATAGATAGATATTGTTATCCCCCCCTAGTATTTTAGATAAAAACTAAGCTCTTATGGTTGTTTTATTTTTGCTTGTGTTTGTGTTTGATACTAAACACAAACTCGACACATGCTTCGGTGTCTGAACCTGTTTGTGTAAGTTTACTGTAGGTGTCTGTCCTGTAATCAGCACTCTGGTTTCATTGTCTGCCTTTGACCTTAAAGCAGCCATCTGTCCTCCTGCCTCTGCCTCTCTGCCTCTTAGTCAGACGAGGAATTAATCAAGCCAATTACTCCCATGCTGAGATCTAGGTGAGCTGCGTGACGTGTGCTGGAGGAGGTGAGGCCAATGTTTGTGTACCGGCGGGTAGAATTTATACACTGGTTGGATTTTTTTTGTTTTGTTTTTTAATTCTTTGTATGATGTGTATGTGAGATCAGTGATTTTCTTTCTTTCTTTTTTACGGTCTCATCATGTGCATCAGTCAGAGGTTAAAGATAAGAAATGCGGAGAAAGAAAGATGCCAAAAAGACTGACAGGAAAAGAGGCGTGTCCTTCCAAGAAAAATACAACAAAGAGGAAGAAGGGGAGGAGAGGAGGAGAAGAAAGGGAGGTAGAGACAATAAAGGAGGGATAGAAAGACTTGAGCACTACTCTGGAGTAAATCCCCTCAATCTGATCAGTGTGTGAGGAAGGAACTAACTAACTCACAGCGTGGACGCACAAGCTTTAAGGTAAGAACGCCTGTGTTCATTTAACTAATGCCATGTATGTGCCATTGGACATATTTGAATTATATATATTTGCTGTTTATGTGTCAGGCATTTCAGTGCAGTGTGATAGATGCAGCTGCATTTATATTTAATACAAGAGAGATGAAAATGAGTGCTGGCTTTGAATCATCTGGATTAAAAAGATAAAACACTACGATGGGTACACAACTTTAGTTTGTTATTGTTTTCAGTTTCTTATACCTCTGCTTCGCTAAACTTAACCGTCAGAAGCAATATGAATATGTTTGTTTATTAGAGTATTGCACAGTATTGTCTGGGTAATAAGTCAATTGTTGGACCTGCTGGGGAAGGTCTCAGATGCTTTTTCGTGAGCTGTGAGAAAAAAAAAGAATAATTGTTCAGAAACAACAGTGATGTCACGCTGTTAAGTGAACCAAACAGATTTCCTTTATTTTTTTGTGCATTTAACTGAATAATTCACAAACAAAGAACCAGAATAATTAAAATTATTGAGGTTTTTGGCAACAATCCGAGTTGTTCAGCATATAATAGTTAATTTAAGCATCAAAATTGACATTAAATTTTTCTGTAACTGGCACTTAATAAATTGTTTGGATAATTATTGCTTAATCTTGCTTTTTAATGGTGATATTTTGCATATTTTGTGGCCAAAGTGTGCACTCTATGTATCGGGTTAAAACCTCTTAACAAATTAAATAAGAGCTCAACGGCAGCGATGTCGATGCTGACATTGATCTTTTAATGCACTGGGATAATTATAATTTAATGTGCTTCTACAAAAAACGTGTGTATAAACTGAGACCGGCTCATTTTGCAGAATGAGCTGTTCTTTAATCACAGGTCAAACAGCAGTTGTCAGTTTTGGAGATTAATCACACGACTTAAATATCCAACTTAACCATATGTTGCTGGTTGGTGCACGACCCCAGTGTGCAAGCTCACTTATCTCGGGTTAAGTTAGCACAACAACTGTTTTCAATTAGGTTAATTGAGGGACCTGTGGGTGGTAATAACCTCTAAACGGCGGCGATTGGGTGTGACACGGTTCTGCGCTTCGACCATCTGTCCCTCCTCTAAGCCATGTAAATCGCAGCAGGAAAAACAGAGGCAGAAGATGTCAGGTGGAAAGGTTATAGGCTGGAAAACACCCACGTTAAAACCATTTAAAAATGAAGATTTAATCACCTCAGACTCCATGAGACACACACTCACTTTGTTTCATTATTGATAAAATACAGAGAACCATCAGCGCACAGTCATTGGAGAGGCTGGTCACTGCGAGCAACAGGTGGTCATAGAGGTTTAGCTGTCACGTCACGTGTGTGCCATTTCAAAATGCCGACCCCGTATAATGAAGGACACGTTAGAGCTACAGAGAGGTCAGCTTCCCTTTATGATACAGATCATGAAGGAAAATAAAAAATGCAGCCACATAGATTTAGGTTAATATTAAAAATGTGCTCCTGCTTCACCGCTGGTCCTCTGTAGCTCCATCCAAATTCATCTAAAAACATCCGTATTAGCACTGGTGGGAGGGGTCAGGCCTCAGCGTGGTCATGCTGTAACTCTGGCTTGAACTAATCCTTGTTTGGACAGGTTCTGGTAGTTTTGGCACATGCCTCTGCCATGAAGGTTGCTGCCCAGACACACTAAAGCTAAGTGGGGGCACAAATGTCAGGCTGAGGTGTTTAACCTTCACATCCTGGTGAGAACTGAAGAACCTTTGTGTGAACTCACTGTCCCTTTGTTTGTTAAAGGAAGCTGACACAAGAAGAACAAAAAGCTAAAAAGAGACACTTTTATCTAAATCTGACAATATCCTAAAACTCAATTACTAATATATAAGGATTCTTCTGGACCTTTTAGCTTCATTTTACAATAAAAGAATCAATGGATTCTATTAAAAGAGCGTTAACTAAAATCCTTTGTTTTGTTTTGCAGGTTTCTTCTATTCTTCAGTGAGGAGAAGAGAGACCACAATCCACAAGAAAACAAACTCACACTCACATGCGACTGAGTTCCTCACAGCTGAGTTGATATTTTGGGGATGGAGATTTGTTGTTTTGCTCCCTGATGCATCCTTCACATCAGCAAAGAAGTCAGCACAACCTTTACTTCAGGTGGCATCACACATTTTGAAGCAAAGCCAAGCTTCTTTGTCTGCACAAACTCTGAATGGAGATGATGAGGAACTCGCCATCTGTGCAGCTGTTCCTTGCTCCCTTTGTCTTTTCTTTACTTTCATTCCTCCTCTGGCCGGCATGTGCCAGCTCAGGGTCTGACTATGACTTTGGAGCCCACCCACGCTTTGTGTGCACCCCTGTTCCCGTGGACGCAGACCCTTCCTGCTTCCCTACATCAGGTCCGAGCGTAGGTGCAGCGGGGCCCAGCGGACCAGGCCATCAAAGTGCACCTCCTGCTGGCTGGTGGGGCGCGAGCGAAGAGGCCAAAGCCACCATCCTCCACCTTAGGGAGAGCCTTGTCCAGCAGAAGGAGATCATCCTGGACCAAAGAGAGACGATTCGGGAGCTCACGGCCAAGCTCACTCTGTGCGAAGGCTTCGGACGGGATGCTTCACCCCACGACTCTTCACACTTGCATCACGCTGGGGCGGCCAGCCATCACTCATATGCTGACAATGGGCACTATAGCAACCAGCAGGGTCACCATGGAAACAGCAACCTCATACCAGACTCGCCACACTACCCCTCGGTGGGAGGGCAACGATTTGACGGAGGGCACAGTGGCAACAACCACGGGAAGGATAAACATGTGACACCAGGGGACGTCGCATCGTCGCCAGAGCAGATGGAGAGGATGCTACAGGCGCTGAAGGAGAGGCTGGACAACCTGCAGGTGAGCATGAGGGAGACAGAACTTTTAAAACTTTTTTAAACTGTTGAAAGGAAGAAAGGCTGTATCTAAGCCGTTTAAGTAGATATAACTCAGCTGATGAGGTAGAGGGAAGCTTGTGACGTTCCCACATGTGATTTTCCTTTGTTTGGACATTGGTTGCATCACTGGAAGCCTTAAAGCGGTACACCCACTAAGTACTTTAGATAAAGGAGCAACTTAATCGCATAAAGCCACTCACACTCAAGAGAGTCACTCTAATGTCCTTCAGTGGGCTCCAAGGACCAGCAACAAGCTCAGGGGTGGACGTCAGCGAGGCAGTGGATTGACCGGGCACATTTAAAGACCTCGAGGATATTTGAGTGTTTTGAAGTCTGTTTGGGTACCTGCCCTTATGTGCTGTGTTTTCCATCTGTTGTGATCACAGACAGGTGTCAGGAGCTGTGGCGCATTTGCGAGGGGGTCTAAGATTGGCAGTAATTATCGTGATCTCTCTTGACAGACTCATGATCAGGGCACGCACCACAACTAAAGCCCAGATTACCTGAGAGGAAGGGAAACAGACACAGAGTAGCACAATGAATGTGAGGGGGACCGATCAGCAGCACAACTGGCTGCTTTGTTTGACATTACACAAATATCTGCAGAAGAAATAAATAAATAGACACCAGTCTTTTATAAAGATTGAGCGAGACACAAAAAGCAGAGGTGTTACATTGTGCCTTAATAATGCGCTTCACCTGCGTGTTTCCACCTCTCTCTGCAGAAGAGGAACACATCCATCACATACTCCAGCTCTCTGAAGGAGTTGCTGCAGAGGAAGATCGACGCACTAGAGCAGCAACTGCACCATCACACTGACGGCCACGGTGGCCCGGACCACCACGATGATGACAGCAGCCACGGAGACGACAGAGAGCATCACGCCGATGACCACCACGATGACGGAAACCCCGGTGACCACAAAGACGACCGCCATGACGATGGACATCGAAACGGTCACGTTGACAGCGATGGCGGCCACACGGAACACCATGATGACGGCCATAATGATGACCATCATGATGCAGACGGGGACCATGATGATGATGACGGTGGTGATCACCACGACAACGAAGCAGACAATCACAGTTACCTTCCACACACGGGATACAGAGCACCAGGCCCGCGGACCGGTTTCCACTCAAATAAGCTGGAAACGATGCTCAATCAGCTGCACCTCTCCGGTACGCTGTTCAGCAAAACTGCTTTTTAAACCACGCTCAGGTCTGATTGTTTGGTCAGCGGGTGAATGTTGTTATGTTTCTTTAAGCAGGTTCCAGCAGGAAGAAATCAAAAAGTCCTGATGCGTTCCAGATCAGCTTCCCTATGAGGACCAACTACATGTACGGGCGGGTGAAGAGGACGCTGCTGCAGGAGATCTTCGCTCTGACTTTGTGTCTTTGGATAAAGGCAGGAGTGGGACCCGGACTGGGGACACCTTTTTCTTACTCTGCGCCCGGACAGGCCAACGAGCTGGTGCTCATCGAGTGGGGGAACAATCCCATAGAGCTGCTGATCGATGATAAGGTGAGCGAGAAGAACCACGAGCTCCCCTCTGTGTCTGGATCGTTGTCAGTTTAAGAGAACTTCAACTTGAACAATACAATAAACAAGGCCGCTATTAGGATAGTGAAAGTCTATGCCAAAAATCAAAGCAGTTAATCTAAAATATTATGAAATGTAATAAATGAATTATATTATAAATAATGAAAATCTAAAATTTAAAATAATATACTTAATACATACTTAAAAATTAAAATATTTCAAATGTAATATTTAAAAAGACTAATCAAAATGAATTGAAAGCATTCATAACTGAAATATTGTTAGTTTATCAACATTTGAATCAAAATCTGCCTGATCTGATATCTTTGCTGGGTTTTTTAGTCATTGTCAATCAAACCTGAACAAGTCACCCAAATACATCAGATTAACTTTGGTGATCAAAGTCAAGTTATTTGTAAAAATGTACTTTTATTAACTACTAATGCTTGATTTATACGTCTTTATACATATAAGGTACTCGTGTAGTGTTTTTTTTACTTAATTTGAGTAATTTCTTAATACAAGCCCTATTCAGCCATTGGTACTTTTTTCTAAGCCTAAGCACTTCACCTAACATTCACTCACACTGGGACGGATGCATTGGAGGTAACTCGACATGTAGACTGGGGGATCCGGGGATAATGAAATACCAGAGTTTTACTGAAAAAACAAGAAACAAACAAGCTGGACATATTGTACCACACAGAAGTCAACAGTATTTTTCAGTTCAGTGACCCCATTTAGCAAACACGAAGCAGGAACCTGCTAAAGCTGCCTGGTTTGCAAATCTGTCAATCAAAGAACCTATATATACATAGCTCTAAAACTCCAGGAGTTTTATACAATCACCCACTGCACAGCTGGCTCACACACACAATAAAAAGATAGTTTTAGGCTGTGAACATCGTTTTTAGTTCGACTTGCTTTTGAAGACAGCCTCTAGTGGCCACCAGAAGAACTGCAGTTTTTGGCACTTCACTGCTGGCTTCATTTTTCAGGCCTAGATTTTGTTCTTCGGTCTTCAGCAGTGGCTCTGCATGCACTGAGCATTAGAGAAAAACAAACAAACAAACAAACCAGAGGAGATTGAAAACTTTTTTAACTGAATTTAAAATGTTAATGAAAATTAAAAATGGCACACCCAGTCTGCTGAACTCTCCTGTTGACACAACACGCTTATGACCAAACCTAACCACAAGGGGGCAGTGACATGCTCTTTTTTTTTTTTTACCCTGGTGTGGAGGAAGTTAAAAGTAATTGTTACTATCTGTTAACAAAGTGTTTCTGAATTGAAATCATATATCCTTAGAACATGTTTACATTCATTTTCTACATCCCCTCCACAGGCAGCCACTCTGCCCCTGTCTCTGAGTGATGGGAAGTGGCACCATGTGTGTGTGACTTGGACCACACGGGACGGACAGTGGGAGGCCTACCAGGACGGGGTGAAGCGGGGGTCTGGGGCGAATCTCTCAGCTTGGCACCCCATTAAAGCTGGAGGGGTCTTCATCCTGGGACAGGAGCAGGTAAAGTCAACGCGAGCTTTACTCCAGAGATAGAGGCAAATATTATGTCCAGAGTTAATATCCAAGCCATTTAGGACTCTTCCCAGTATTAAATGCCTGTATGTGTGCTCATGTTGAGGCTCCAATATACTGCAGACTTACCTTCATAAAAACATCTGACCTCATCAGTGACTCTGTTATATTATACACAGGAGATTTCACATAATCTTCTATATGTTAGTGAGAAACATCAGATGTTCATCACGTGTCTCTGATCGATGAAGATGATAATAATCAGGTATTGATCGTTGTCGTGCGTCTCCTCTTCAGGACACTCTCGGAGGGCGCTTTGATGCCACTCAGTCATTTGTGGGCGAGATGTCGGACCTGCACATGTGGTCACACGTCCTGAGCGCCAGCGACATCTACAGCCTGGCCTCATGTGGCAGCCACCTCAGAGGTGACATCATCGCCTGGTCCGACACGGAGGTGGAGCTTCACGGAGGCGTCGCCAGATACCCCTTTGACCCCTGTCACTGAAGGTCGTTACCCTGATGGTCTGAGAACATTTATGAAGAGAAGCTACGGGGACTGAAGGAGGATTAAGATAACCACTCAGAGCCAATGCCTTCCCTTTGAACTCAATCAGTGAATTTTCTATAAATAAATGAACAATGAAAGGAAACATGGTGATAAATCTTTATTCACAGGTAACGTGTAGGGACTCTGTGGCTGTAGGCCATTATTTGTTGTACCCACGAGTTAGTATTTTATTTAAACGGACAAGTGCTGTATGTGACATATTGCCATATTGTTAATAAGACAAAATAAAGTTGGTGTGTGCTAATCTTTGCAGGCCTTACACGGGGTCTGCTGTGGTGACAAATTGTAAGTTGTTAGTTTGAATGAAAGTCATAGAATTTTTTTTCCTGCTCTGGATTCTCTTTTTAAAGGTTTCCATGAAACATACAGCTACTTCACCAAAGAAATGTAGACTTCAGGTTAAACTTTGTGTTGATCTTTTCTAATTTTACGAATCTGTGTATCATAGATAGGTCCATGTTGGATTTTGAGAGAAATGCTGAAGATCCTGTGAGACAGGAAGTGTTTTACAGTTAATACATGGACTCTTGCCTCAGTTTTGTACCATAAAAGGGCTTCTTTGAAAATGCTGATTATACCGTTTCACCCAAACTTTTATATCTTCTCATTGCAAATCCCATTCCTCACTGAATTAGTTTGTAACTTTTGATGTCGGCTGCACTGTGAATTTGTGAATCTGGCCTTGATTGTATATTTATCTTTGTACAGTAATTTGGTTTTTTTTAGCAATGTTAGAATTTTCCCATTGTGTTTGTCATTGAAAAAGTGTTTAAATAAAAGTGTGACAGTTTAAGTGTCTCATTTTTCATTTGTTAATGACTACAAATGGTACTCAGCAGTTTGCATAGCCCTGATCAGTGTTCACGCTCCATCACTGTCATTTTTCCAAGATATGTGAAACACTAAGTCTGGCAGACCTCACGTTATCGCTGTTTGACTTACAATAACAGTGATGATTTTATATTTGTATAAATGTATGTTTTTGTTTTGCTACTTTGTTGTGTGTCATCATTTCAGATTAAATTGTTCCGTAGTCCTTTTTCCAGGTTAAATCAGAGAAAAATGAATAAAATTCAAATGAAATTTAGCGCAGATATCTTTTAAAACAAATTTAAATCTCAATCAATATCTCAGAAAAACAAAAAGCACAACAACCGCTCATCTCCATTTACCTTTTATTGTTACACAGTAGTTTACTGGCACCAATGTATCACGGTTTTCCTTTTTGCTACATTTACAGATGATCTATCCATCTTCACCTCACAGTAAACAAAAATAAATAAATACAAAATAAACACATTTTTTGAAGGTGGCGGCTCCGGGGTGAAAGGAATCAGAAACAGTGGTCCAGCTTCATTCAGTTCACTTTAGTGTTCATTCTTGCAATATGAATGAAAATATTATTTTTTGGCAACTTTGCATTTCAAGAATACCCAGAAAGTGAAGGCCTACAGAGAGTCTCTGTGATGAACAAGAAGCACAAACATGAAAGATAAAGTGACACCCTGGAGGGTGAATCATAAAAGGGAAGACCCCGTTCAGCTTAAAGCAACATGATCAACATCTGCTGCTACAGCTGGAACTGATGAGGTGATGTATTGACACACTTCAGCCTATTAAGCTGCGTCTACGCAGGAAGCGATTCGCAGCGACGTGGCAATCATAAACCACAGAAAGTTAGTGACATTCAACGACTTCACCCGACTATGGCCAGGGAAAAATAAAAAATAAGCAAACACGCTGATGATGCAAAGCGGGCGGATCCCAGATGAGTCTTTCAACGCTGCAGGATAGCGGTGACTAACATTCAACCTCGCAGTAAAAACAGGGAACGATATGCTTGTCGCACCTCTTTGAAGCCGACCAGTGAACATCTGGGATTTGGTTGCCTGAGTAACCCAACCACCGATCAATCCATCATTTATCTCAGGTCCAAGTTTCAGACGTTGTAGCAGAGACACCCAAACATCCCTCCCTCTCCCCAGTCACCACCTTCAGCTGATCGAGGAGAACACCGAGGCGTTCCTCAGCTAGCGTAAAGAGATAACCCCCCAGCGTATCCTGAGACACCTTCACTTTACAATCAGCCCTCTCTCCACAGCAGACCGGCACAGCATTCACATCACTGGAAATGTGGCCCCAATCCTAAGTAACCCTCTATGTCAATCACCGGTATCCTGCGCTCTCACTGGCAGCTTCAGTTCAGTTCAGGAAAGAAAGGTTTTTCCTCTGGATCCATCTGCTTTGCTTCACCTGTTTTTATTTTATTTTTGTTGTTTGTTTGTTTTTAAACACCCTTGAAATCGCTGAATGTCGTTCACTTTCTATAATCTCTGAATTGCTTCCTGTGCAGACACTCCTTTAGAGCAGGGGTGTCAAACTCCAGTCCTCGAGGGCCGGTGTCCTGAAACGTTTGCATGCATCCCTGCTGCAACATATCTGAATAAAATTAGTAGGTCATTAGCAAGACTATAGAAGTTGACTGCATGCTAAGGTGGCAGTTCAGCCTTTTGATTCATGTTACAGCAGCTCATGAGTGAATGAACATGGTACAATAAAAGTACTTCTAGAAGTACATTTTTCCCAAACACTTAACATTTATTTTAATTTACTTGAGGAAGGGTTAGGGGTTGCCACCTCAGCATGCAGTCAAGTTATAATCTTGCTAATGACCTACTAATTTTTTTCCAGATGTTTTGCAACAGGGATACATGTAAAAGTTTCAAAACATCTGGAGGACTGGAGTTTGACACCCCTGCTTTAGAGTACTGTTTTCCAAAATGCTAACATCGATAAAGTGCAGTTAACAAACATATTCTCTGCCATCTAAAGCGCCAATTCTTTAAACTACTAGATTAAGATCGACGACGGGAAACAAATCTAAGTCTTATTCTTTATATATAAATGTTTCTATGTGATATTTCGAAGTGTTTCTCGTCTCGTTTCTCTTCATTTTAAATCGCTGTAGTCTTCGGTAGCTTCGGTTTGTAAACGGCTCCTTCACACTTCATCTGGACTCGATCGTGTAACAACCGAAGCCTAAGACCGAATCTCTGCTTGTGCTTTACTGGGTCTGATTTACTCAGCAATAAATAAAATAATGTAGTGTGTGGTTACAGTTAAATCAGACTACAAAACTTCATTCTCTCAAAAGAAGGTACAACTGAATGGGGTCAGAAACTTTTGCATTAACAATCTTCCATTTTAAATCTTCTCCAAGTCAACAGGAAACACTAACACTTCTCAAACCAGTGCACTAGCATGATCAGTGACGCATCAGACCTACGACCGACGCCTCAGTTTATCGACATGCAGTAAAACAGTAGCTCATACAAAAAAACAAAACAAAAGAATAAATTAAATCATTTCTATGCGCATAGTAAACAAATATGCTAACATCTATTTACAAAAAGTGTACATTGTAATGAGCTGCCTTTGTGATTCCTTAAAACTCACTATAGCGGACAGACCCGACTCTAACAGTTTGACGTCAGACATGTTCGTCTTGTAGTGTTGAAAATGATGTGTGGCATGCTATAACGTTACATCCGCGAGAACATGATGCTAACTGCTCAGTGTCAGTGGTATAAAGGATTTGTTAACAAGCCTCCAAACTGGTACTATGATTTTCTACTCTGCTATTGCTCAAACATGTTAGAGAAACATGCTAAAGAACATTTATATATTGTCTAAGTGAGCTTAACCGCGCAGCTGTCTGCTTATGTTCGTCTCAACTCGACCGTACTTCATGATCAACAGTAACCTGGAAATATAAATATTGTGCTAATGTACAGTAATGACGTGTCTACAGTACCCAAATGTGGTCGAGTAGTAATGTAAAACTGTTACAAGTACTACAGGAAGCAATGAGAACAAGTTAGTCATCTGAAATCACTCGTTTCCATCCTCACTCCACTAACTCAACGTTAGACGTATTAGTGTTTGTGTCATGAATTCACATTTTGTCTAGGGCAGGGGTGGGCAATTCCAGGCCTCGAGGGCCGGTGTCCTGCAGGTTTTAGATCTCACTATGGGTCAACACACCTGAATCACATGATTAGTTCGTTACCAGGCCTCTGGAGAACTTCAGGACATGTTGAGGAGCTAATTTAGCCATTTAAATCAGCTGTGTTGGTTCAAGGACACATCTAAAACCTGCAGGGACACCGGCCCTCGCGGCCTGGCGTTGCCCACCCCTGGTGTAGGGTATGCACAATCAAGAAAGGCAATGTCTCGTTTAGGTTCAGAGGACTTCTAACCTGAAAAAGACCACATTCACACTAATGCAGACGAATCTCTGACAGATGTTTGTTTCATTGGTTTTGGATCCACACCTGCTCTTCATATCACCTTCCAAAAATCCACTACATGTGCCAAAAAAGAAAAATTTCCAACAGGCATAGGCAGGGGCTCAAGTCAGCCTAGAGTGTTTATGCTGAACAACTCGCTGCTATTTGTAGGGGGTCTATGTGATAAAATGCAACTGCAAGACTCACAAAAATGGACAAGATCAGCAGAGAGAGAAGGCCTAAATCAAGTCGCGCGAGCATTATTATACCCCCCTCCCCCAAAAAGATCTTTGCTTAATGATACTGGTGCTGATACTGGGGATTTATGCTTCAGTGGGAAATCTGCGCTGTAGCTACGCCCTTACTGCAAACCCATGTGTAACCCTACAGCGTAACCTGACGTGGACCTCCCTACAAATGTAACTACACATTGGGTCGATGCAGTAATAAGAAATTACTGAAACTATCGACATGGGCATGAGGGAATGTACATTGAAGTGGAAAAGCTACAAGGACAAATAGGTTTACCCCTAATAAAAACAAAAAGACTGATGGCAGCAAAGAGTGGGGACCCAGCAGCATATAAAACACTGGGACACAGCCACATGTTACGGAAGCGTAAATGCCGCTAACAACGTCAGCTGCTTACGTGGGTTATCCCGTAGGCTCTACCTAGATTCCCTGCAGAAGTCTAAATCCGGCCTTACTGTCTGAAAGTTCAAGCCAGTCACAAAGCAGTGAGTCATTATTGTTACTTACTGAATTTAAACCCTAAAGCTCAAATTCACATGAGAAAAGTGCCGGATTCCAAGACTTTGTGTGAGTAGTTCCACTGAAAACATCAAACGTCCCAAATGTTCGCAGATGTTTAGTAACGCAGACAACCAGCAGCATAAAGAAACCTTTTAGTTCCTGTGAGGTGCAGACTTAGCTAATCTTAGCTTTTCCAGGTCCCTCATTACCAAGTATAATGAGTGTGGCTTAAAGGCCAAAAAAGTTGTTTTAGAGATGATCAGCACTGGTGTGAATATGGTCTAACACACGCCTGTAGTGTGTAACAGCAGTAGTGTAAGAACCAAGATAAGAGGCAGCCACACAGGGTGAGTTTCTCACTCTGAATGTGGCTTTTCAAAAGTCTGGCAGATAGGGCAGCAAGGAAGAGTCCTCAGAAAAGGAAGAGACGGCTATTAGGGATAAGGAAGGAGGGGTTATCAAAACTTATGAACGAGTTGTAAGGAGCAGGGATGAAGGAGCTGAGGAAGACAGGGAGAGAGCGAAGGGCGTGATCTATGGCTGCTCCTCTTTCTTCTTAAGTGATATACGTTTCTTCCTGGCAGCAAGCATCTCGTAGAAGGGATCCACACTAACGGCAGATCTGAGGAGATGAAAAATACTTTAACCCAACAGAAAGTACTAAAAAGGAAATAAATTCTCCCAAACAGGAGAATATGAAGTTTCTGGTCAGAATTTCCTGCTGTTCCATCACTAACCGTGTTTTCTTTGACATTTTTCATTTACATACTTGATGCTGTGGATCCACTCGTCCTTCTCCTCAGGTGTGGGAGCAGAGATGCGGTACACCATGTGGTTTCCTTCCACTACTCGCCCATCAGCCTCCGTCTTACACGCCTTAATTAGCTGACCACGGTTGTTGGGGATGTACAGCTCAAAACAGTTCTGTTAGAAAAAAAAAAAAGGAGATAAAAATGTTTTGAAAGTTTCAAGCAAAATACCGTTCATCACACTGTTTAGCAAAAACAGCCACTTACAGGTTTCCTTGGGTCTTCTACTTCTCGAATGCTAAGGTTTTCCAAGGGAATGATACCTCGTGGCTCTTTATCCTGTAAATAAAAAAAACACGAGTTAATAAATATTTGTGGGTATTATTTTGTGTTTTATGATGATTTGAATCAATATGACAAAAAAACCTTTAAATTGACTCATGTGTCTTTTTTTTCTTAGAGTAGCCTTCGTACATCTTTATTTCTGTACTACTTTTTAACTTTGTGGCTCAGCAAGCTTCAAGCAAAGCAACACGCTCTTCCTTCACTCACAAATACATTTTAAGTTTTGCAGTTTTCAAAAATCAACTGATCACAAAATCCTTTTTGCCTCACTAAAACAAGTGTGTCACATTCACTGCAATCTCAAAGCCATTAGTCTGAGAAGTTAGCTTCTCACAGTGATTATTATTATTTGAGTTTCTGGGGTAGCGAATGGAAATCCAAGTCAAGACAACCGGTTACATCTACATCTCATTTTATTTTAAACAATCACACAGGCCTAGAAAAGGATCCATGGCCCTCACCGGTCGTGAGGAAAAAAATTGACTGTTTTCCGATCGGTTGTTGGAAGTCGAGTCCAGTTGCAGTCACTGGAAAAATGATTGCAAGAGTTCAAGTAACGCAACGGATTTCACCCAGCGAAACCCAGCAACCTCCGGGAATCACTGCCAGCCACTGTCACGTCTAATATCAGAGACAGCACATGAGCAATGTGTGCATGACATATGATGAGAAACCTTAGGAAAGAACTTCATTGCTCTGTGACTTCACCAAAAACCTTCCAAGTGACTTTATGGGCTTAGTCACTTATTTAGGGTCATAATGAATAAAACCTCAAGTCCATTTTGTAAATTTTGTTCATTCTAAGGATGTTTTCACACTTTTAGTTTGTTTACTCTCAACTGGATCAGCTGATTTGTAACCTCTGACTTTAATCTACCAGGGGTTTGCTTTCATCTCAGGCTACGTCCACGCTAGCTCGGATAGATTTGAAAACTGTGTTTTTGTCTGAAAACGCTCTGCGTCCATGCTAGCGTTTTCAGTGGTTTTCACAGAGTTGCGCGTCCACATTGAAACGGCTGAAAACGCTTATGTTCCAGTACTGCACATGCGTGAAACGCAAGAAGATTCGACCTGCCTTATTTCTGTTAGCCGCTTATTTACCTTCCGGCTCTTTGAAACATTCGAAGAAAAGCACAGAGCTTTTTAAACGGACTAACAATGAGGTGGAGTTGTTGCTGCGAGTAACACAAAAGTACAAAGTTGCAAAAGCGAGTGAGAGTTAAAGAATTTGAAGAAAAGCTATCTGGAGCATGTACAGACTGATATTAATCTTTAATAGGGCTGTCAAAATTGAGAGCAAACAAAACAATTGCTGTAGAATGCCCTCCGCTATCTCTGTTTAATTGGTCACATGACTGCATCATATGACTAACATGTATCATCATTTTAGAAAGTCTCCGTTTTCGCTGTCCACACTGCAACGCGAAAGCACCGTTTTGAAACGTATGCGTTTTCGACAGTGTTTTCAAAATGTCGTGTTTTCCATCAGCAAAAACGCCGTCTCAGTGTGGACGGGAGGCCAAAATGGAGAGAAAACGATGTGGACGTAGCCTTAAACAGAAAACAAATCAAAACCTGTCACTACAAACCAAATGTAACTGGAGTAGGAGCAACAAAAGTAAACACAAGTGGTAGGTGTTGAGTTCTAGTTGTCACAGTTTCATTTACTCTGCACGTCTGTAATGCCCAGAATGCAAAGCATACCTGGCTAGAGGAATGTGTTTAGCTCAAGCTTGCATACACCTCACAGTTGGATCAGATCGAGCACAAATCATGAGCTTGTTTAGAACTGGACAAAGATTACCTCCTCTAAAGGGTGCAGCTGCTTTGGTTCAGACACAGTAAAGCAGTGAACGATTTTAATGGACTAAACAGTAAAGGTGAAAACACCCAAAGGCAGGAGGATTTTTCTGAGGATTGCTGGGTAATCGCTCGTTAGCCATTGAACAGTTATATCCAAACAGACCAAGATGGTAAGGTCAAAAAAGTCCAGCTGGAGACTGAATCAGAATTTAAAAACCACTGAGTGATGTCATGGAGGATAGATCCATCTTTTATATTATCTATGGTTCCAGCATGACCGGTCAATACTACCCAGACTATAATAAACACCGGAAACCCAGACGTGTTTGCAGAGTTTACCTCCACTGAGACGCTGAATGAAGACAGAGAGACTTACTGTGGTATATTCAAAGTAATAAAGGCAGTTATCTGTGAGAATGAACCATCGACGTTTCCAGGTTTTCACCCTTCCCCCTGAAACACAAAAACATTGATGATGATGATGAATGGCAAGAGAGGAAAACTAGCTCTGTGTGTATTACTTCTACAATCTACAGAAATCTACGTGGCTAATCGACGTCTACAACTTTTTGAATAACTGTCAGTACATACCTCCTGAGAAAACAAGCAGCGGCAGTAGAGGATGGAAATCGCAGTGAAGAAGGAGAGGGGAAAAAAAGGAAAGGGAGGATTTGGAGGAAGACAGAAGACAAAACAGAGACAGAGGAGGAGGAAGAAAAGGAGATCATATTAGTGACACACAGATGACAAGCCCCGCCATGCAAAAGAAAACAATCAGATTTTAAGGCTGCCATAACACAAGAAAGTGAGTCTTCTTCTTCACCATCATGCTATGGCAATTTTTTTTATGCCACAACACTGAACTGATTATTGGAGGCAAAGAGAAAAGTTTATCACAGCACAAAGCCTTAGCAGAGAGTACAGTAGCGTACAGTATTAATAACACTCCTGACCAGAGTCACTGTAGTTTATTCTTTTGTAATTAGTTTTCATTTCATTTCATTTCATTTTGTTTAGTTTTTGTTTTTAATTCTGTTGAGTTTCCAGTTTAGTCTTTATTAGTTTCAGTGTTAGTTTTAGTCTTTTTAAGTATTATAGGATGGATATTGTATGCCAGAGGTAAGATTTAGGAACATAAGTACAGGTAGTACAATAAAATAGAACTTTTTAAAAGCAGTTAACTTACAGTCTTGTAGACATCTAATAAACATGCCCATCAAAGTCTCATCAGGAAAATTAGCAAATACTATAACTCAGGATATTTCCTCTATCCATCCATCCATCCATTCGCTACCGCTTATCCTTTTCAGGGTCGCGGGGGGTGCTGGAGCCTATCCCAGCTGTCATAGGGCGAGAGGCGGGGTACACCCTGGACAGGTCGCCAGTCTATCGCAGGGCTAACACACAAGGACAGACAACCATTCATACTCACATTCACTCACAGATTCACACCTAGTGGCAATTTGGATTATCCAATTAACCTATCCCCACAAACTGCATGTCTTTGGACGGTGGGAGGAAGCCGGAGTACCCAGAAGGAACCCACGCAAACACGGGGAGAACATGCAAACTCCACACAGAAAGACCCCGGCCTGATGGTGGAATTGAACTCAGGACCTTCTTGCTGTGTGGCAACAGTGCTAACCACCGTGCCACCGTGCTGCCCTCTATATTTTCATTTAATTTAGTCTTTTTTGCAAGTTCACAAAATAGTTTTCATTTTTCTTCTTCTCAGTTTTATTTTTTATTTTATTTACATCTAGTTTTAGTTTTTGGTTAACTATAATGACCCTTCTCCTGACATTTTAAAAGCACACACAGAGACAGTGATAAAGAGCAGTGCTCCCCATCACAGCATAAACACCGTACCAAGCTTAAGAAGCCAGCCCTCTCTGTCAGGGTTGAAGAAGGTGTGTGTCAGGTCATTGCCGTCATCTTCCGGGATCTTGAAGGGCTCGTTCTTAATGCTTTCGTAGAGATTCTGAAGAAACAAATAAGAGAAACATAAGAACAGAGAATAAACATCTGTCTGCATCTACAAAGAAAAGCAGTGCTGGGTTGATCGTACTCTGAGCAGCTCCTCTGGTAGGTCTCCCCCCTCATTGATCCCTCGGTTCATCGAGATGAAGCGGTCCACTCCAGGTTTGTCTCTCACGTTAGGATTGTGGAGGCTCGTGTTCAGCATAATTATGGCAAAAGAAAGCACGTAACATGTGTCTGTGAACAGGAGAGACATATGTTTACATTCAAGGTATCTACAGAGTAGGTTTTTTCTTACTCCATTGCTCTTAACTATTAGCCCCTTAATACCAAGATTTGACACCTCGGTGTATATCAGTAAAGATGAGGTTTGACAACATTTTAAATAGTTCCTGGGTTTTTCCAAGGGTGATTGCATAGGTGGCGACCAGCCTCATTTACTTCTGATGCAAACCGAGTCACTGTTCTTTAAGCAGGGCAGAAATATGACAGAAAGCACTCATTTCAGGAAAAAGCATAAAGGGTTGCTCCAAGGGTTTCCATCGGTAAATAGTTTGGCATGTTTTACGTATTATTCAGTTTTTCATAAGTTACATTTTTCTGTATTTTTATTGTCTTATATAGGGATGGGTACCGGTATCCAGTGCCATGATGGCACCGGTTCTGACATAAACGGTAGTAACCAGACCGAAAAGCAGCACACATTTCGGTGCTTTTTTTTCCTGAGCTGTGATACACTTTCTAGCCAATCATTTTACGTTTCCGAGGATAGTAGGCGGGTCCAGGTACGTACGTTCTTTTAGAGCAGAGCTACAGATTAAAAATGCCCAAGGCGAAGCGGTCAAAAGTCTGGCTGTACTTCACAGCAAAAGATGCAAACTCAGCAGCCTGCAACAAGTGCTTTAAGCTGATACTGTGATACTGTCAAAGGAGGTAACACCTCAAATCCGATGAAACACCTGGCGACGCATAGCGTTTTTTTAAAAGCCGAGAAATGCGCCGTATTTGATAGCTTGCTGCGAGACCTCACACCGAGCACATCTACTGCGGGTGTGGTGCCTGTTATCGGACCCGGAGTTAGCAACATCCCCCAAAAACCCGAAGAGGAGAGTCCTGGCCCCTAGCCCTGCCAGTGTAGCAGAAATGATGAGATGATGATGCAGCAGCAGCCGTTCTTCTCTGCGTGAGTAGCTTAATGTTGTTCGTGTGTAATTTACGTTGAGTAGGCTAACCACGTTATTACATTAATGCATGTAAGGTGAACTAGCAAACATCATCATAGCTACATGCGGCTGTCTTCTTGTTTGATGGCAGATACTCCCTTCACCCTGGCCAAAAAGGCTAAAATGACCAAAGAAAAAGTGGAAAACAGTTAAACATGAGAGGTTTTTGGACAAAGTTTGTGTTTTTTCCATTGTTTAAGCACTGCTTCCAGCCAAGAGTGATACCATATATGCCCCATAGCTGCAGAAAAGGCTAACATTGTTATCTTTTTACAAAAAAAACAGCTGAACATGAGAGGTTTTTGGACCAATTTTGTGTTCTCCATTCTTTAAGCACCGGTTTGAGCACCGTTTAAGCACCGGCACTGTTTCAAAAGTACCGGTTTGGCACCAGTATCGGATAAAACCTAAACGATACCCATCCCTAGTCTTATATTATTTTATGTAAAACACTTTGTAACTGCAAAAAATACATATAGCGTATTTAGGTTTGAACTCGTCAGCTAATTTGGGTTTAAATGTTTTGCTAACTCTTCAGCGCTACTGTCAGGCGTGAAGTGGCCTGAATGAGCAGTGAAGACTGTGGGCTGGCATATCAGGTCATTTCTCGTAAGACAGAAACTGTTTGCATGAGTGCACATATTCTGGAAGGCCACTACTTTCCGTTTCGACTGCACTGACAGGAATTCAAAGAACTCAAAAACAACAATTGTTCACTCACACCGTAACTGAACAATTGATTTAAGACAAGCTTTCAGTATCACCTATTCTACTTGAACTGCAGTGCGACTGTGTGTTTATTTTACCAGTGCTCTGGAAGACACCGGGGTTGCAGTGGCAGTATCTCTGAGCAAAGGCTTCCATCATTCTGTCGATCTTCTGAGCTTCACCAGGCAAACGGAAACTCCACAGGAACTGTCTGCAGAAAACAGGTCAAGGTTTAGGTCAAATCAGAGGGAAAAAAAAAACAACCTTTGCTAAACAGTCGCTGCCGCTCTGTTTCATAACCTTTTTCCATCTGCATCCTCAGGTAAGAGCGAGAGTGGGATTTTCCACTGTTGACTAGGCTGCTCACCAGAGGATGCCTGATACAATTGAAGCTATTTTTTCCACAACACACAAAAAAATCCACAGTAGACAGAGATTACCTGAGGGCCTGGACGAGGTTGAGATCAGTAAACTCATGGAGGTCAACGAAAGCCTGCAAGACTTTGATGTTGAAGTCATCTCTGCAAATCATAGAGGTCAGTTATACATGGCTGATTAAAAAAACAAGAGATAAGGGACAGAAGAAATGTCAACGCCTTGCACCTTTCTCCGAGGTAATCTCCTATAGCCGTCTTGTTGAGGCCCTCTCCTTTGTATAAGAACTGAGCAATGTCCTCTGGAGTGTGTCTGAGCAGCTCATTCTCCACCAGAAATGCAATGCCCTGCAGAGAGAAGAACGAGTCAGTCACAATCCAAGGAATCTAGAGGAGACACATTCAGCACCCGTTTGAATATTTGAGGTATTACCTTTTTAGGATCCATGTTGAATTTCTTCCTTCCCATTGCCACATGCCTACTTTTCTGTAGAGTTTTACTGCAGAGAAGATAAATGTGTTGGCAATAATTAACTTCTGTGATCAAATCAAAGGTTCTGATAAAAATGAATCCTGACAAACCTCCATGAAAGCTATCACCAAGTACCAAGACTGTCAACTTATAAACACCAACATTCTTCTTCAAAACACCAGGAACATGAGGTTTACATCAATGCAAAATCTTGACATTCACCTAGAAAAGCTATGTGTAGAAAATTAAAAGGCAAACAATTACTCCATTTATTCACTAAAACAGAATTACTATTAAAGAATATTACTCCAGGCAGAGTGGACACATACACATTTTCAGCTCCCTGTTTTTATTCTTAGATTCTACACGAGTAGCTTTGCAGGAGTCACAGTTCAAAACAATGCATAATTATCTTAACCCCGTGAATCTGAGATATTTTGTTTTATAAAAAGACTAACATCTTTTTCATGTGTAAGTAAAAATGCCTTTTTTGTTCTTTATTTGCCAAGAATTGGTAGAATCGTTTTCAAAGGGCAATAATCACATATCCCAACAGCATAAATAAGGTAAAATCATTTTCATTTATAGAGTCCAAACCAAAACAACATTATCCTTAAGCTGTTTAAGGCTAACTTAAGGTAAGGTAAAAACTCTATAATGAGAAAACCTCATCAGTCACAACAACCCTTGTGAGCAAGCACTTGTCAACAGGGGGAAGGAAAACTCCCTTTTAACAGGAAAACTCCTCTGGCAGAACCAGGACTAGAAAGGAGCAGCCATCAGCTACAACCAGTTGTGGGTGAGAGGAGGGAGACAGGACAAAAGACACATATTCAGTTTAAGGTTGGAGTTAGGGGTTAAACTGGGACATGGTGCAACCTTTTAGCTCCTCCACCATCTGGTTTGACAGCAGGTGAGTGGAACTGCTTTGTTCATAGTCAGAAATTTAGGCCATGTTTAATATAAGCTTCCACGGTTTTAACAGTATGAATCACAGAAAATGAAATTTCTCATTTAAGCATATATACAACAGAAGTGATTTGTTACTCCAAAAGCATTTTCTATTATTATTATATTATTATATTATTATTTTATATCACTTCCTCTTTGTTTTGTTTTTTAGAGTAACTGATGTGGGTTTTCTTATTACCTGCCCTCTGTGCTTGTCTCCAGTCCCTCTACCTCTAAAATTGCCTCTCGTAACTCCTCTCTGAGCCTCTGGATCTCCTGCAGCAGGACGCCCTTCCTCCTACGGATGTCCTCCAGCTCAGAACGCTCCTCTGGGCTCAGGTCTACTGGGACTGTAAGGGAAAAGAAGAAGAATGAGTCAGCTACTGCTCCATATATAGAAGGTGGTAACTGTGCCCGAACAATCCCAATCAAACGCTGTCTCCAACAGTGGCATAAATATGATGTACGACAGCATTAACACTACTCCGTTGACTGACTCCTAAAATAAAGCAGATTAAATTAGAATTAAATCTCTAAATGCTTCTTACAACTATGACAGAGAAACTGCTCCAAGCCTGTCCCTGGTAAAGCACTGATTAGTTAAAAGCTTGGTTAATTAAAGAGAAAAATAAAAAAAAATAGTCTTGGATATTAATTGGAGCATCAACCTATGTAATTACACAATTTTCAGGGTGATGAGCTGACTCATCTGAGATTTTGGCTGCCACTAAAAAGTGAATGTACTTTTGTACATTTGGTGTGGTCACTTTAAATTATTTTCAGTAGTACTCCTATCTATACTCGGTTCATAGCAATACACTGTGATATACAAACAGGGTTTTCCATTAGGGGCAACTACAAACATAAGCACCACTGCACTGCCTATAATTTAGACAAACTTAGAAGTTCATGCATTTTCCTGTTATTGTGGCCATTTTTTAAACAAAAAGATTTATTTTTAGCTGAAGTACGTTTCTCTGCAGTTTTTAAAAATGGCTACTTAAAAAAAAGCAAAACCCTATGCGAGAAGTGCCATTTTTTATTTGAGTGAAATAAAAACTGTATAAATCCACAAGAAGTAAGCATCACACTGAATGACCATCTCGCTTTAATACTCACTTTAAAAATTCAGGATGTGGCCAGAATCAAACCTCTAAAGCTAGACCAGGAATCAAGACTTGACTTCTGCATTATGAAGAAGTATAATATATTTCCACTGCATATAAAATGTGTTAAATATTAACACCTGGATAATATACGGACTTAAACTACATTAGCACATACGGCCTGACTTAGACTTCTGCGGGGAATCTTTGCAAAGCCGACAAAGTGACCTATGTAAGCGGTTGATATTATTGCCAGCATCCTTGTCTGTGGTACCTATGCATTAATTACCATGTGATCATGTTCCAGTGTTTTACATGCAGTGCAAGCCGATAGAAACAATTAAAATGCTGGGAGTTTTTTGGGTCTCTGCTTATTGTTGTGGTCAGTTTTTTCCCCCAGAGGCAATCATATCTACCCCTCTATTTTATCTCACCTCTTCTCTTGCCCATTAAGAAAGAAATTTGCTGACATTTGTGAGTCCTTATATTGATGCCATTATTACTCTTCATATATTGAGGCGATGATGGTTATTCTCTCACTGATTAAATCAATAACTGCCGCAAAAAAGTATGTGGAAATGCACATGACAAATCCACAGCGCAAACCAGGCCAATAGCGAGCACTCCAGGCTGCGCTGACCCGACACGTAGATACATTTCTAGGGAGGTGCAAGTTGGGCTATAATGCAGCGTTCAGAGGGGTTCACGGTTACGCCATAGATTACAGTGTAGATTTCCCACTGAGGCACAACTTCCCAGGAAATATGACTGGCTCGCTTATACTCGTGGCAATAAGTCCGTGTTGTTTGACATAATCGAAGTCTGTGCATTTTGATGTCCTGCATGTCTGACATTTAAAAAATATCATATATAGATATTTGTATAAATATTAAATTTCCAATCCTGGTGACAGCCGAAAACCTCAATAGTGAGCACGAGTGCCCAGTTGTTGTCTTCAAGGTTTAAAACCATTTGCCAAAACCATAATCTTTCAATGGCTGGACAAAAACATGGACAAAAAGTGACTTACTAATAATGCAGGTCTAGTTTCCGAATGCCACGGTTACGTTAAACTATAAGTCTGTTTATACAACTAACTCATTTCAATAAGGGCCAACTAAATAACAACATTCCTGCAATAAATTTAAATGTTATGAAGCCAATAATCTTCAGTGTTTGCTGAAGCTGTTTTCATAGGCAGTGTTAAATATTTTATAAACCTCCATAAAATGATTACAACTTAACAGCACAACAAATTACAGGCACCAAAATGAAAATAAAGTTAAGACATGATAGTGATAAAACAGTTTCACATAAAACTGAACATGATAACCTTCCGATAAGCAGTCTTTTTGCACCCAGTTCAGACATAAAGTACTGTGTAAAAAGCCTTGAGTCACCCTTCATTTTGTCAGTAGATTGAGAAATAGATTTACTGAAACATGTAAAAACATAAATTGAAATAAAGTATGCACGTCAAAGGGAGTTTGTACAATTCTCACGGGCTTGAAAGTGGTTATTTGTTACAACCACCTTTATTCTTCAAACCAGCCTGAACTGTTAGGCAGCTTTCTTTTCATTTCTTTAAGTGGTCTTCGGGAGTAATTCTCCAGCCTTCTTGAAGGACACTCACAGCTCTTCTTGGATGTTGGCCGCCTTTTGTTACATTCTCCGCTTCATTAATGAGGAGGTTGGGACTCTTGAGAGGCCAATCCATGACTGAGTGTCCTGCTATGTTTTGTTTTCTATCCAGGTATGCTCTTATTACACTGACAGCGTGTTCGGGATCATTGTAATGTCGAACAATCAAGCTGTTGCCAGATGGTACTGGTAATTTTCCAGATATTATTGTACGATGGATCAAAATCTGATACTTTTCCACAATCACAATTTCATCAGTTTTGACAAGATCCCCAACACTACCTGCTGAAATGCAGCGACAAACCATAACAAAGCCTCCATCTGGTTTTACAGATGTACAGCTGTAGACACTCACTGTTGTGCCTTTCTCCTGACTACCTCTGTACATATTAATGATTTAAATCAAAAATTTGTAATTTGGATTCATTACTCCATAAGACATGTTGTCATTTATTTTTAGTCCAGTTCTTGTATATATGTATGCTATAAATATTCTTCCTATACTGGAAGAATACCTATTCTTATGCCTCAGCCTTTTCTGTCCATTTCCCTTGCTTATGAATGGCTTCTTGACAGCCATCCTTCCACTCAGACCGGGCTTGAGTGAACAGTAGATGGATCAACTAATTGAACTAAAGAAATTAAATAATAATGTGTTTTTGCTAAATTAAAATTGGCTATGTTCTTAGTAATTTGTTATGTTATGTGTAGGTAACACTAGTTCATGCCTTATGTTAGATGACTTTTATGCTTGAAAGATTTATGTATCAGGGTTAAGTGGCTTTAAAAAAATTAAGGGGTTCTTGTGACTTTTTCACAACACTGTAGATATTCAAATTAAAGTCAGTGCTAATGAAACAGATAGTGCTATTAAACATACGTACATGTATGTTGCATATATGCATATTTTAGAGATGAAGTCACTTAAATGTATGACTTTTAGAGGGATAATGTCTGAGGTTTTCTTAACTGTATTTTATCACTGTGCTAGACATTATATTAAAGTGAAAACATCAATTTAATCACCTGCGATATGACATAAACATAAACGCAGTACCACAATCTACAGCCTCGGACTAAATCAATACCTCTGTAACCTCCATTAAAAATAATATTATTAGGACAACAGCATTTATCTGAGCAGGGTTTACTGCAGAAAACGTTGACCTAGAGGTCAAAGCAGCAGTGTTTACTCTGCAAAGCAAGCAGCTGCTGTGCACCACCACCACGCCCACAGCCTGGATCAAAGCCGTGATCCACACAACAGCATCCACTACACTAACTACCTAAAGAAGTTGGTGTTTTCAACGAAGTACATCATTATTTAGAGCCTTTGTGTAGCCTAAAAGCTAGTTAGGGTTTTATAAATCAATCCACCGTGGTTAGCTAAAAAGTTAGCTTTTATCACTCACCGAAACGACCAATTTAAATGGCCTCATGCAAAGATAATACATTTCCTAAGCTAGTTTAAACTGTAATATTGTAAACATGTACACCCATACCTCTACAAAATATTCTCAACCTTTTTCCGTAGTATTTTATTTCCATTTAAATGCTATATGAGTTCTTGAGTTCTCACCTGCGCTAATAAACTAAAGCTAGACTGTTAGCCACAGTTGGCTAGCGATAGATACCCTGTGCGAATAGCTACTTACTGTAGTCCAGGTCATCCATTTTTGGCGCTTTACTTTTAGGCATAAATAGTTCAGAATCGAATGTCATTCAATGTCAAAAAAATAGGGATATATATAAATATATCCTCAAAACTAAACGGGAGAAAAAAAAGAACCACTGGTGTCGAAATTTTGGGCCGGAGACAAAGGAGGTGGCGACACCGGAAGTAGTGTCTGACATTTAAAGCGGTAATCTTCCGGTCAGCTGTTTTTCAAAATAAGATGCCTCGCATTTAAAGCTATTTTTAAATGATTAAATTGGCATTAAAGCACAACAAACCCTACTGGTTGGAAGCTGACCTACAAATAATTTCACCGATTTATTTCTAGAATAAGTCTTCTGTTTCTTTCAGCTGCTTTCTTTCTCTTCACCTACCTCTAGCATCCTCCTCTGTCACTCCAACCCTCTGCATCCTTCTTCACTACATTAATGAATCTCTCTAGTCTTCCTCTTTTCCTCCTGCCTGGCAGCTCCAAATTCAAAATCCTTTGTCCAATATATCCACTGTCTCTCCTCTACTAATATCCAAGCCATCTCACCTTTGCTTCTCTAACTCAATATGAACCAAAATCGTTCAGAAATGTTCCCTGCACCTTGCTGCATCTGTGCCATGCAGAATTTAATCAATCCTGAAGTAAAAGGGGGACCAACTCAGTACAAGCATGGCATACCTAATAAGTGGCTGGTGAGTGTATATATAACACTTTTAAGAGGGAAAAAAGGATCGATAGTTACAGATCAATTTTATTATGAATGCGTTGCTGGAAGGGTAAAAGATAAAAAAGCCATTTAGATACGTGAAAAAAGCTTCCTGTTTTCCACATCAAACGGTTTAATTCTATTATAAAAATGTGGTGGCATTTTAGTGACTAAAGACAAAATAAGGCATTAATTTGCTCCAAACAAACATATGAAGTTACATTTATTGAAAACCATATATAACTATTAACTGTACAATGTATATATTTTCATTGTTTTAGTAGTAATTACAATTTCATTACAGGCAGTCCACTACAGACATCTTTATAGCATTAGCAACTGAAGGGTAATACCCCATCATGGTCATATAGGAATTGGTCTTTAACACCATGGTCCCAGCTATGGCCATAGACAACAAAATGTTTAGGAAGGTAAATGGTCATAACTAGTCTCTTAAACATCAAGGGTAAACATTTTGGCAAAAACTCCATTCAAAGTGTATAGAGACTCATCTATTTGGTAATATTACAAGCCTAGACCCAAAATGTTGTACTCACATTCTGTAGCTGTGTAAGCACAGTGAAGCTGTGGTAGAATAGCTGCATTGTGCGCTCAAAGGAACACAAAATAAAAACAAAAGCAAAAAAAATAACATCCTGGTAAGCAAAAGAGTTTTACTCCATTTTCTGCAGTCAGGTTTAAACAGTTCATGATCAACAGCCAGAATTTACAGGCTTATTATACAAAGGCATTGATTTGTCCAGGTATGACCGAGACATACAGTAAGTTGATGATGAACCAAGCAGTTGGCACACAAACTTCCTGATTGATGAACTGCACATGCTAATGATTTATTCTTCGTCCAAGTATCAGCAGATTTGAATAAATAAAAAAAAATCCTCAAAGGGCTTCAACCTCTGTAGTTTTGATTCAACTCATCAACATTTGGAAATACTTGTAGTCTCAAAATATATATTTCAGTTTTAAACATCAGTCTGTTGCCTACTTGAACAAACTGCCTCTGCTGCTGGCAAATTTCTCAAAGTGCAAGCTGTTCTTCTATCTGATTTACCACCTGATCTGACAGCGCTGGGGATTAGTGCTGACTCTACAGCAGGATTTTAGAGTTTCAACATGACTTTGTTAACGGTCAGTCACATCCTCAAAAGCTAAGAGTCTTCAAAGTGCAACAGTTAATTCATGTCAGGTGACGCTAATGCTAGTGGATCTACTTTCTGAAACAAAACACTGCATCAGACAGAATAGTGTTACCCTATAGTTTGAATTGTTCTAGTGTTGTGATCTTCAGTGTGTTTGGGAAGAATACATGTGAAATTTACTTCTTAACTGAGGCATGCAACGTCTGTTAAACATCACTATCACTGTGCCTCCACTGGTTAAGAAAAAAAGGCAGATTATGCAAACGTTGGTGATGGATACCCTTTAACGGATCCATTGCTCCTACTAATGTGGTGACCCTGAAAAGCTTGATCCTGCTGCTCTATGTGGATTTACTTGCATGAGAAAAATGATTACTTGTAGTCACTTTTTTCTCCACTGATACACAAAAGTGGCCGAGTCACATGCGTTCAGACTTTATGTTTTTTAAATGTAGTCAAAGGACTTTGATAGGTGAACGGAAATCAAGAAGATTAAAGTTTCATACATAAGAAGGAAAGGATAAAAGTACAGCTGTACTGTACAGTATCAGATAAGGCATTCCTTTCAGGGACTAAAGTTTTTATACTCAAACATCTGGATGTTGATGTAAGATGAGGCTGTTTGATGATAGAGACGTGGCGATAATTTCACTGGCTCTTGGCCTAAGAGAATCTCAATACATTTTTATAGCTTTTCATGTGTACAAATGATATTCTTTGAATTTAATCTGATTTCTCTTCATCTCAGCATAAGGCAAAAACAAAAACAAAAATAAAACAGGTAGTGCTTCTTTGCATGCATACTGTTATGTATACATCCAACACATGCACTATCTGCACAAAAACCCATAAACATTCAATTGTTTTTCCCTCTCATCATCCCAGGCCGTGCTGTTTTTATGCTTCTCAGGGTACACTGTGCGTAATCCAACAGCTGTGTAATGAGGTGCATTTTTCATCCATTTTGAAATTCACTATTAATCCCTGCAGAGATGCTTCAGTGATGCGTGGCTTGGTTGGTTATCCCTTTCATTAATCCGTAGAAAAGCAGTTTCTGCAATTCGGGCTATTTGAAGTCTCTCAGCTACTCCTGTCCTCTCAGACTATGGATGGCAACAGAGATTATATAATTCAGTAGAGTGCTGATATGTCAATCAAATCAACCAATCCCTGATTAGAATCTGGTAATCCTCTCTCCAGAGTCTCCAACAATGAGACGGGCCATGGAAGGATGGATCTATAAAACATTAAGAGATCAGGAAAATGAATATTACTAATCACAAGTGTTAGTAAAACAAAGCAGCACAGAACACACAGTACTTAAGTGTTGAGAGTAGAAACATACAGTACGTAAGTTGCTGTTGGCAATGTGAATGAATAATCAGATGATTAATTAAAAGCTTTTAAAGTACAGAACATGTAGTTATTACAAACTAAATTCAGACTGAGACAAATGAAAAGACCTAGGAATTTATCACTGTGGTTTTACTCAACAAGTATTATTTATGCTAAATCTTGTTTTTCTTTCTGACCTGTGCTTGAAGCGGCCCATAGGGCACAAGCTCTCCGTCCACAGTGAGTGTTCCTCGTGCCGACAGAGGCTGCAGCCTGAATGCTTTACAGGTAACGTGGCTCACATAGGGAGAGCTGACAGAGTGGTGGGTGCCTCTTTCCATGGCAAAGAAAAGTCTCAGTAGAGTTGCTCTAGAGATCCCTGCTCGCACAAAAGTCAGATGGATCAGCCCATCGTCAAACCTGGCCTGGGGTGCAGCAAAAAGGTCAGCCCCAAGGTGGGTCTGATAAAGGGCCAGGACCAGGACAAAGTCCCCTTCAATGGTGATCCAGTCTCGAGTGGGAAGGGGCTGGTCAAGAGGGGGTAACAAGTCATCCCTTGCTAGATTTAAAGGCAGCGAGAATGATGGACGGTTCTTGAAGGGTCCTGCTGGTTCAGCAATGTCAAAGTTAAAAGAAGAGGATGGCGTGCGTAAAGAGGGCGAGGGTGATGTGGAATTTGGGGTGTTAGGACGAGGAGCGAGGTAGGATGATGAGTGTGGGGAGGCACAAGAAGGAGACGAGGGGGGTGTGGGAGAAAGAGACAGGGAGAGAGAGTTGAGTTTAGGTGGGAGGGAATTTGTCTGGGAGTGCTGAAGGAGGGAGAGGGGCCTTGGCCGGGAGGCGTTTTGGTTTTTGTCCAGGGTTTTGGCCTTGTAAGAGAAGGGAGAATGACGAAAGGGAGAGGAGATCGTCAAAGCTCGCTCACGAGCGACATCCAGTGTGTATGAATCTTTCCGGTAGTAAGATCCATTCAGATCGATATCATCGACGCCATTTGAAGTGCCTGAATCTGCATCAGCCTCCTGACTGAGAGGCTGGTTGCAGAGAGCTTCGGCTATCTGGCTCGAAGGGGCTGAATTCTTTCTCACTGCCTGCCTGGTCTCATGAAGGCAATCCTGGTGGGTGACGCCATCCTCTGGCTCTTCATCTGCCTCTCGCCCCATGACAACCCCATAGCTCTCACCCAGCTCTCTCGCATGCAACACTCCCTCTCCTTCTACAGAACCACTGCTCCCTTCCCCATCCTTACCTCTATCGTCTTCCTCAATCTCCTCTGAGTATTGCTCTGCTGTTCCATCATCTTCCCTTTCATCCTTGATCCTCTCCAGCCTTTCTTCCCTTCCCATACTGCATTCATCCCTTTCATTTGATTCTGAACTTGTCCCTGATCTCTCTGAACAAGTCCCTGACCTCTCCTCCTCCGCTTCCATCTCCATCTGTCCCTCCCTCTCTCTGTCTTCTGCCAGACTGCTTGCCCTCACCACACCAGTTCCTCCTCCCCTGGCCCTCTCCCTTCTTCTCTCCCTTTCCTTTTGCCTCTCTTCTTTTTCCCTCTCTCCCTCACCCCTGCGCAAGCTCCTCTGTTCACTGATGCCCATGTCAGAGCAGGTGCGATGGATAGGCGTGCGGCAGAAGCCCTCCAGGCCTTCTGTGATACTGCGGGAGAGCGGTCTCCTTGGTGGAGGTGTGGCATCTGGTGATGTGGTGACAACAGAGGGTGGTAGGAAGGAGAGACGACCCTTGTAGGATCGTAGAGAAGCTATGCGCACTAATGTGCCCAGGGTGAAGCGAGCTGAGCCAAGACCACGATACCTGGAAGAAGACAAGACTGCAAGTGAAGCTACATTTTGAAATTGACGTCACATAATCCAGAATAAATTAAAAGCCAGGCTTTTATGAAGAAAACAACATTAGATTAAGATTCTGAAAACTTGAAACACCCACCTCTCACTCTCAATGTCCACATCGGACACAAAGCCCCAGGCAACAGAAAGA